CAATCAAATATTTACGAAATGGAAAACCTTAATCCTGTTTGCAACTGACAAGAAATAACTGACACATGACAACTTGACAATTGACGACTTGATAAAACGTGAGATTTTGTAGATACGACTTGATTGATCTGATGAGGAAATACAGAGAAAAAGGCAATTCTAAGAATTTTTCAAGGCAAAAAAGATCTTTGATAAAAGTACTCACGACATCGATAAGTTGGGAAAGTTTCAGCTTAATCTTGACTGTGAGAGCGTCTGTGACATTGACAACTGGACGGACGAGTTTGTTGTAGTTGGAGAGCAGATCATCGTACAAACGTTTTGCGTCTGGATTGCATACGCAGTCTGAAAGATGAAGATGAACAAATTTATTGATTTCATCATTATTATATTTTAAAAAATAAGCATATAAAAAAACATAACGACGGTGAAACTGTCAGACCACGTATCTCGTTTGCGGTGTTTAAAAATCTCCGCTCCCATTTTAGTTTTGTGAAGGAGCATAGATCGATGTCAGTTCTTAAACTTTTTACAGAGTTTTCTTCGCGTAAAGAGAAAAGAAACATGGAAGTTTTCAAACATTGCCGTCGAGTAGTTTTCCATTTAAAAAATAAAGTTTGACAGGAAGTCTACAACGCCGCAAACCGAAATACGTGGTTTGATAGTTTCGCACCGTCTTTAAGTCAGAGCATGTGATGACGAAATATCACACGGAGACACGAAATGTACTTACAGGATGTGTAGAGTAAGCGCCATTCGTTCATAATTCAAAAAGGAAGTTTAAGCTTATATGTAAGAATAATACAATTTCAATCATTTAGACACATTTTAATCACCACTCAGTCAATGTCAAATGACGGATAATGTTTTTGGAATTGGTTGATTAATACCGTTTATTTACAGGTCTTTTAACAAAACGTAGGTCATTAACACCTTGGAAAATAAAGATTATGGTTTCATCTTAATCGTCTATTTCTTTTTACTTAGTTATTCTTAAATAATGTAAAAAAACAGACGGAAATAAAATATTTTAAAGAAAATTTGAATCCATGTAACTACGTATACTGTGCATTTTATAACTGTTAAAGGATTGATGTTTTTGTTGACATTTTTCCTTTGAATGATATTTGCACCTTGTCCACCATGGGGAATGTGTTTCCTGTAGGCAGTTTGTGTAGATCAAGAAAAACTGAACATTCAGTCTATTAAGATCACGTACTCTTGATTAATATGCCTCGCATGTTAAGAACAAAAATTATATTACTACTTGGTGGTTAGGCGCACGAAGCGGCTGTAATGAAGGGAAGGTGAAGCCTGATCTTTTTCCGTACTAAAAGTGTAGCTTGTGCGACTGATTGCCTATCCGTTACTTAAATATGCATTGGATGCACTTTTTTTCCAGCACAACCTCGTTCAAACTCTACTTACTCGGGAGTCGGAAACTGCGAGTAAAACATGAAATTGTATGATCGTTCGGTAAATGCAGGCAAGCGCTAGGGCCTCGTAAATACGATTACACTTTCCATTATGGGGAGTGATTGGGATGATATGGTAGTTCATCCGATTTACACGTGATATGACTGCGGAATGCAGCGGTAAGAGCCCTGCTACACTTTTTTAACAGAAAAAATGCACTTCAGAATCCGATTTGGATGAATATTTTCGTGGCATCAGAACCAGGAGGAGCAATGAAATTGATTTGTTATTAATATCAGGTCTCGCGTCTGCGTGAGACTAGGAGAGCGCGTTTGCGATATTGTGCATGACTAATTTTTAATTTTGAGAAGAGGTAAGTTAATCATTGTTGTTTGTTTTGAGAAAAAGCTTGAGGGTCTGATGAATCAAATTGTCAAAAAAGGAGGGGCATCGATAAGGATCTTATTTAGGCTCGCCCCGCATTATTTCTTCAACTGCGCAATTTTTTACTCATTGAAGGTCTATATTTTCCGGAACGCATCATGGTTTGCTCATTTTCGGCCTTTTTCTGGTGTAATACCGGCCTAAGCATGGGTTCGAGGCCCTGTTTTAGCAAAAAATGTGGACTTTTCTTCATTAATTTGACCGCATACCCGTTAAACCCGCATTTTTTACCAAAATATATATGCCTTTTAATGCCAATTTGGCTAGCTTTCATAGATCCTGGTAAAAAGATTGAAAGAATAATAGAGCTACAAGCCAAAAATAAATTAAGCGAATAATATTTCAAACTACATCTCTCATCTCTATGTAGTTTGAAATATTATTTGTTTAATTTATTTTTGGCTTATACCTAGCTCTATTATTCTTTCAATCTTTTTACCAATATAATATGCCTTTGGATACATATTTAGGCCAGTTTTGAACCCGAAAAGAGACAAAAAATAACCACAGCACGACGTTATCCATAAAAATTGGACATTCAATCAGTGAAAAATCGTGCAGTTTAGGAAATACAAAGGTGGGCCCCAAAACGGTCCTTATCGATCGGGATCGGTCCGTTGAAGAAATTATTTGAAATTTTGGAAGAAATTGAGCGAAAAAGTATTTCACGAGGAAGCCTGTCGCATGAAAATAAATCAGGTGAGAATGAATAGTGCAAAATACACCCATGCATTACTATACACAATCGGTGTCAATAATAAAGAGCGTCTCGAGCAATCTATAACTTTTTATTATTCGATTTGATGGATATCTCACAAAGGCTGGTCCTTCGGAGTTTTCGAACTCGAGAGAAACTTTATTTTTCATTTTAATGCTCGCTAAGGAAATAATACGCCAAAGCTTAAATAGAAGCAAATCCGTTTAGTCGTTCGCTCTCTCGTTACATCACATTTAAATAAAAAAAAATATTGCGTTTGCTCCAAGTTGAGAAAATGTGACATTCTCTGGTCTCCTCCTTGCTGTTCACTTTCCGAAGTATGAATCTTTCCTACGTTTTATATTCAGCCTCTTCGAAGTCTCCGTAACTTCTCAAGCGGATCATTTCATCTACTCGTCTCTTACCCGCGGAGGCAGTGGCTTATCCTTTCAGCAGCAGATGCTTTTTCCTTCATTTCCTACAAGTTAGACGACTTTTATCTCATCCGCACGGGGGATGAAACCGGAATCATCGGCTGAAGATTGTATTTGGCTCGAGATTTTTTACATTTCACGGAAGTCGTAATCATACAAAAATCATGTTTTTCATTCATCTTGTTGACCAATAAATTTAATATTGATCTCTGGTTTTAACTTAGGTACTGTAAAATAAGTCGAAAGGAGACAATTCTCGACTCTTGCATTTTTATGAGACGGTAGGTATTGCACCAGACAACATTAATTCCAGCCTGGCTAAAACTCATTTCGTCGCTTCGTTGACGTAAAGGTGTTTCTCGATTTTCACATGAGCCTTGTTTTCCGCAGGACTCTTTGCTTTCCGGGGCTCATATCAGTGGCGTGGCGTGAATTGCGATACATAGATTGTTATGGCATTTAAACCTATGGTAAAGAATCGATTATTAAGGCGTTCGCTGCGAACACCCTGTTTATCGATCCTTTTCCATGGGTTTAAATGGCATAACAATCGATAAATCGCAATTCACGCCACGCCACTGGCTCACATGGAAAAATAGATACGCCCTTACTTCAGGGGAGTGACGATTATCTCGATGCGGGCGACAGACCCGGAAGAACGATGGAAATGATGTAGTTGATGCAGAAATGGATCGCCGCTCAAATTAATACCCCCGGTTCTGAGAGACAAGGGAACAACGAGGAAATAAAGCTAGAGACGTTTCGAACAGCCAACGATTGGGAAATATTTCGCTCCTCTAGATTGAAATGACGATAAAGCGTCTAGTTCAACGATTTTGCCGTGAATGCTCGTGAAATTCGTGAAATTCCTCACGCCATTACGAAGTGCAAAAGACATTCTTTCGTGGTGACAGGTCGACGCATTGTTGGCAAATCCTCTGAAATAATTCGCCTTTTCATGTTACTATTACTTAAATAGGGATGTGATGATTTGATATGGGATAGTTATATTTTTGATGAAAAAATAATGAAAATTTGAGACTGTGCCGCGGTGCAGTATAACAGTGGAAAATGACCAGCATCGAGTAAAAAAAAGAAGAAGAAGAAAAAGAAGGAAACAGGGTCGGACTGGCTCGCATCTGAGGGCGCAGACCCTTGGCCGGTTAAAGGGGCGTAATGTGATATTTTCTGGTGGGGTATATCCTCTACGAAGAGAGGGGTTGAGAAAATTTTGGCAAAGCAGCACTTGTTTACGCTATTTTCAGGTTCAAATATTATTAAGTAATCGCATGGAGTAAAATTTGCAAAATTGAACTTATTGAAGTAACCGACAGACTTCTGAAATTAAAGAAAACATAAACAATTAAAGCCACCAGGACGTATCCAAGCACCATTATTTCCAAAAGAGCTGTGCTGCTGCCGCCAGTGCTGCGGTTTACAGGAGCCTAAGACGTGGGTCTGCAAATCCATCCCAAAAAAGAATCAGACAAGAAACTGAAAAAAGAAGGAAGGACGAGTATCAACACAGCCGAAGACAGGAAAGACGTATTCGAGCCTCTTTTTTAACTTTTCTCCCGAATCTGAGCGACACCGACACCTCATTGGCAGCATATAGCAGAGCATTGAGAGCTCACGCCTCGCGTCACCGCGCCTTCAATTTTTCAGATGCAGCATGCACGTCCATCGAGTACGAATAGTTGTATCTCTGCGCCGTCGTAAACGCGCATCCTTTCCCTCAGTCTATTTCCATATTGCGTTTGTTTGCGTTTGTCTAATTCGTAATGGTGCTTCAAGCACTACGTGAGTAGCATAGCCGAAGGTAGAAGGAATGTGTTCGGAAACTGAAAAAAGAAGAAAGGACGAGTATCAACACAGCCGAAGACAGGAAAGACGTATTCGAGCCTCTTTTTTAACTTTTCTCCCGAATCTGAGCGACACCTCATTGGCAGCATATAGCAGAGCATTGAGAGCTCACGCCTCGCGTCAACGCGCCTTCACTTTTTCAGATACAGCACGGACGTCCATCAGGTACGAATATTTGTATCTCTGCGCCGTCGTAAACGCGCATCCTTTCCCTCCCTCTATTTCCATATTGTGTTTGTTTGCGTTTGTCTAATTCGTAATGGTGATGTAAACTAGTCGCATATAGCAGAGCTTTGCGAACTCACAACTCACGTCATCGCGTCTTACATTTTTCATATGCAATGCGGACATCCATCTTGCGCGAATAGTTGTATCGCGTTTACACTTTAGACGTCTCTTATTTTTGAATTTCGAGATAAATGAAGGCTAAGTTTGCCCGAGATATGCTATGGTTTGTTCAAATCAATAGTCATAGAAATATGTTTAAAGGT